TTCACTACTAATACTAGTAGACGAATATTCAGTATTCGCCTTATGTGCGAAAATTAGACAAATAATTGGAACCAGGCTTAACATATATTTTTTTTAAATAAAATATTTATTTTGGTAAACATATAAAATTAAGTCTAAAAAGGTATTTAAACGCGAGTANGATATACAATAAAGTTATATTTCACTACTAATACTAGTAGACGAATATTCAGTATTCGCCTTATGTGCGAAAATTAGACAAATAATTGGAACCAGGCTTAACATATATTTTTTTTAAATAAAATATTTATTTTGGTAAACATATAAAATGAAGTCTAAAAAGGTATTTAAACGCGAGTGTCGTGATATGCTTAATACTTTGCATTACGCATCTCACAATTATCAATGAAAAAAGTATAATCTGTATTTTAAATAACTTGTAAACAAACAAATAATTTATCTGTCATAACAAATACAATGTTCAACACAATTTCTTATTATTAACATATATGTCAACTCATCTATTGTTAACTATGCTATCAATATAATTATCATGTAACGTATACTTTAAAACAATAAAATATAATCATGAATAACACAAACGGCAATATCCCTGGATATGGGGGTACCTCTTCAGTACTATAAAAAGCACTGATATCCATTGAAAAGAGAGAGAGCCAGGATTACGGCTAAGGCCAGAGAGCCACAGCTCCAGCTAACTAGTTCGTTCTTACGGACTACTCTTGCTCCTACATTTTGATCACGGCCCCGTGCTGCCGTTTGAGTTATTTTATTTTGTATACTTTATTTGTGTTTAAAACTTATTTTAGTCTATAAAGACATTATTACCATAAATAAGTAATATTGAGTAAAAATTGGCATTTCTGGTAAATACTTCATTTATCTTTTTGGACATTACAGAATACGAAGGTAAGTCAATTTATATTATCCCATTTATTTAAAGTTAATAATCTGAGTAAAGAATGATAAAGCAATAGATCTATAATTTCCTTTTAACATCAAGAGTTATTTTGCTAGTTTGTTTACACCTACTACATATACACATTACAAGGTCTCGAGGGTCGGATTACCGCCCCGTGCCTAAAAAGAGTTTAAAAGCCTAATGTGTATTTGATTATATTAATAGACACTTCGACTGGGTATTTGAGGGTTGGATTACCGTCCCGTTACCTTAGTGTCCTATTAAAGGTGTTTACAAGTTCATTAGCTCATATTCCTCAATAAAGAGGACATACTTTTATTTCTTCATATCTA